GCGATTTTTGTAGCGATATCGCTCATATTTCCGCACTATATCGCTCTATGTAGCTTCACCAATACAATTCAATGTAGCTGTTCACATCTCGTCGCTCAATGTCGCTTGTAGCTCGTCGCTGGTAGCTTGTCGCTTCTACATGACCCTTTTTTAGAGCGATTTTGAGCGATATTGCTCCTGATTGCATACAGCCCAATAGGAAGATCGCGCGACACGTCGCTCAACGTCGCTCAATGTCGCTCGTCGCTCAATGTCGCTCAATGTCGCTCAAAGTCGCACGATTTGCATGTCGCTCAGTGTGAATGGGGTCTGAGAGTTAACAAGGGTTAAATAAAAACACATTGGGGGAAATTTATCAAACCTGGAGCAGACACAATCTGGAGCAGTTGCCTATGGCAACCAATCAGCTTCTGTCTTCAGTTTGTTCAGTTAAGATTTGAAAATGAAAAAGAGAGAAGCTGATTGGTTGCCATAAGCAACTGCTCCAGATTGTCTGCTCCAGGTTTGATAAATTTCCCCCAGTGTATTAAAAAACCCCAATAAAACGTTTTCCCTGTTTGGTTGCTTTAATATGATACATGATATGCAGATGAATACAAAATGTATATAAACAATGTTACTTTGTATCTCTCTATCTCCCCTCTGATCAATGTTTATAAACAATGTTACTTTTATGTAAAATAAAGTGACTTGATCAGGGCTTACCACCAGGAAGAATCCATTGAATGATAAAATGTGTCACACAAACATACTAAAGACTCTCTTGCTATGTTAATGGGAAATGGAGAGATGTTGGTAGCATGGTTACCTCCGTGCAGTGCCCACTTTAGAGGATACCATCCCTGCCAACATCTCTGTGTTTTCCGATTTACATAATGAAAGTGTCTTCATCATCTGGTGGTGGAACCTGTATGTTCCGACACTTCCAAAAGTGTCAATTCAAGCATACAGTAAATAGAGGCTCTGTTATGGCAAAGTAACATCAGTGGTGAGTACTTTCTCACATTTTTCCTTGCTGTACTTGAAGAGGTGGTGGTGGTAGTAACATGGTCTCTGCGTTACCCATCATCCCAGTTGTTGTGTATTCATGCATAGTGCCAGTGTCTGAGCTCTGAGCCACACAATTTGGATTTTGAACTTGGTGTGCTTGTTTAGCATGTAAAGGGTTACCCGGGGGTTCGGTGAGCCATATAATTGTCATTTTTAAATATCATTTTGTTGTAGGAGTGACCCTTCAGTTTGTGGAAATGATGTTTGTTTTTCTATTCAGCTTGTTTGAACTTAACATGAAGTGATCATCAGGAGGTTGACGCATTTCCTGTATGCGGGATACCATATGGCGGCCTCAATCTACATTTCATCTAAAGACTTTGTCCTGTCATTATGTTCACAAATCCCGACAGGAAATTTGTAGAGTGGTCTGTTGTTGGCCTCTTAACAACCACTGTATGAGGAGCGCACAGGTGATACGTGTCACAGTTCAGCTGCAGACTTGCAGTTCCTTGTAGTTACAAGTATATACATACCTCTTGCCCCTGGTTCTGCAGGGCTGTGCTGGTGCTTGTAGTCCTCCAGGCATGTGCTCTGAACCTGACTCACCCTTGCACCAGTCTGGCAGCTTTAGGCATCGGACAACCTCTCCTGCTGTTTCTTATGCAGCTTCTCGGCCAATCAGTGCAGTCTGCTTGTGGCCAATCCTGTGGATCCGCCCTCTTCCTGTCTCTATTTAAACCCAGGTCAGCGAACGGCACGGGGCCCGAGCAACGCTCTCCTAAGCTAGATGCTGAGCCCCTGTTTGTGATTCAACCTGATTCCCTTGAAGTTTATCTGTGTCCTGACTGTTGACTTGCCCATGGTGATCCCAGTCTTCAGATTGTCCCTGGAAGTCCTGGTCCTCCGTCTGTCCCTGACCTTTGTTTGTGTGTCTGCAACCTGTCCAGAACTCTGGCCTTCTCAACCATTCTTGGCTGTTAGGTGAGTTGGGTGGACCTAGGGATTGTGACCTGGGGTCAGCACTCAGCCAAGCCCATCTCCACCATCAGGAGCTCTGGTGAACCCCAGGCTGGCCCTTAGATTCCACATCCTGGGGGACCCCCATGCCACCTACCTAGCATTGCAGCACCCTACCCGGTACCTTGTCCTACCCGCCTATTCTGTCTTCCACTGCCTCATTCAGTTCCCCTGCTCTGTTCCCTGTGTGTACTCCAGCTCTGGGAGTCGTCAGCCTACACTGCTTGGACCCTTTTCTCTGAGTGTCCCTGCCAGTGTATTAGATACAATCAGGTATGTGGTTTATACTTAACCACATACCTGATTTTTGTTTATACCGTAAACCCCGATCCGTGACAATATGGCTTCATAGTAATATAGTATTTGAGGTTGAATAAAGACACAGGTCCATCAAGTCCAACCTATTGCGTGTATGCATGTGCATCTACATGTGTATGAGTTCATGTGTGATCTTATTCTCATGTGCACCTGTACCCCATGTATGTTACGGTCTCTGAAGGAAATCGTCCAAAGTTTTTTTAATTCCACACTCTCAGCTGATACCACTGCTTGTGGCAGAGAGTTCCAGACCTTAACCGCTCTAACTGAGAAGAACCCCCTACGCCCCTTGTGCTGAAATCTTTTCTCCATCAGTTTTAGGTGGTGGCCTCTAGTCTTTTTGTTACGGCGTTTACCGTAAAAAGTTTATTGCGGATGTTGCCATCACCATTGAACATCTTGTACATCAGAATCATGTCCCCCCTTAATCTCCTCACTTCCAGGGTGAACATGTTTACGTTTTGTAGCCGTGTCTCATAGCTGTGGTCCTCCAGCCCCTTAATTTGTTTAGTTGCACTTTTCTGGACTCTTTCCAGTTCAAGAACATCCTTTCTGTGGATTGGTGACCAAAACTGGACCGCCTAATCCAGATGAGGCCGAACCAGTTATCTATAAAGTGGCAAATTTATAGATTTGTCCCTACAGAACATTACCTTTTAGAATACAAGTGTAAGCTCCTCTGCAAGGCAAGGGTTGGATCGCAACTGCGGGGATGCGTACGGTTTAGTCAGTGGTGGGTCACTTATAACACTCAATTGATTAGAGATGTGTATGTGACCCTTAACATCATGTAACCGTAAATGGTATGGTGGTATGTAGCACGTAGCACTCTAAGGTAACTGGATGAGTAATGCAATAGATTAGATGGTATAGGCGTAATGCAACAGGTATAAGAGTACTGCAATAGGTAATGACAGTATATGTGCAATGCAATCGGTATTACCAGTATATGAGAAAAGTCATTCAAGGTTGTACTAAGTTACTATCTTATTTAGAATGGTGAGCTTTATAGTACATGGAGATCATTGGCCAGTGCACCCTGCGGCGTCACTGGAATATTTGCGATTGGGTGCTTCTCGGTGAAGAGAGCACAGTGTCCTTTGAGGGTTAATCAGTACTCATGGGGTTTAGCAGTCCAGAAGCTGGCTGGTCAGGAATCCTCCCTGGATAGTCCTGGTTGTTGGAGGGTCTGCTGAATTGGTGAAGATCCTGGGTTCCAGTAGTAGGTATCTGTGGGCGATACTCACAGGTCCTGAGTGGGGTCAGTGTTGGCAGAGGGTGAATCGTCAGCGTTCACTGTTACCAACAGTTGGACGCCGATGGTTCGTTTAACCCTCGCTTAAGAAGCCAGTGTGCGTGCGCCAGGGGGAGGAGCCAATGTCCGTCGTGCGCGTGCTCCGGAGGGAGCCGAGGACGCTCGTACTGCGCGTGCTCCGGAGGGAGCCGAGGACGCTCGTACTGCGCGTGCTCCAGAGGGAGCCGAGGACGCTCGTACTGCGCGTGCGCCAGAGGGAGCCGAGGACGCTCGTACTGCGCGGGCCCCC